ACAGGGATCAGACCCACAACTTTGGCACTATTAGCACTATCCTCTACCCTATTGAGCTAGTCCCAGAGTAGTTGATAGAAATAATCTCATTTTTGAATGGTTTGAGTTGATGACCCTGTATTGACAGCAATAAAGACAGAGTAGAAAGAGAAAATTTTGGATTTATTTTACTTCCTAAGGTGGGCAAGGTGGGTTATGTCTAAAATGTGTTTCTCTTCACTAGTGTGATAAAGGAGCCCAGGATTATTTGTTCATCTGTAGACTACTCATTGTAGGCATTGAATATTCAACTTGCTTTGGAGGAAGAAGTTTACATCTCATGCCATGTCTTTAGTGAAGCTTAAGAGATAGCACATACAGAATTGGATAACAACCAAGGAAAATATCACAATGGAGGTCAGATTTCTTGGTTTTATTAAGATCTGAAAAAAGTACAGGAATCCTGAATTATACTAGAATTTCTAAACTGTGCAGCTGTATGAATGCGTTTGACCTCCTTTTTGGGGTTTTTTTTGTGATTTTCTTGGGGGTTTTTTGTTTGGTTTTTTTTTTTGTTTGTTTGTTTGTTTGTGGGGTTTTTTTGCATACCATACAATTTCTTTATGACATCTAACAAATATCTGTCTATATTACTAGGCTCATTAGGAGTCCCAAATATTTTTATTAAAAAATATTTTAGACCTTGCAATGAAACTGTACTTTAAATTGACATTTACAGATTTTCCTTAGGAAAAAAGCCTTTTCAGCTTAATTATCCTTCATTTTGTGGAAAGCATTTTCTGTTGTGACACTAGCTGCGAGAAATTTTTCTGGCTAGATATTGAGTTTGCATAATATTAATTGGTCCATCTGTATTTGATTGATAACACAATGGAGCCCTTTAGAGCAGCTATTATTTCAGCCTGACTGTATTTAATATTTTACTGTGGCAATTCCCAGTGTGAAACAATGAATATGCTTCTGAAACACTTGGCTTATATTCTGTGCTTTAGAGGATGCACAGAGAAACATCTTGCTCATAACAGGAAGCCACGTCAAGAGAGGTTCATGCTAATCTTAGCCAGAATATATTTACAATGCAATAGCAAAGATAATCCCAGGTAAGGAGCAGATATCATCCAGTGCTCCTGGAAAGCTCTCACCTTGTGATGCAGTTGATATTGGAGTGTTTCACACAGTCAGTAGCAGTTTATGGCACAGCATGGAAGCCTCACAAAAATGAGGTGTCTCAAAGCTGGCAATTCTCCAGCTGGCAATAGGCAGCACTCTCTCTTTACAGTTAATTTGCCCCTGCACCTGAATACACTGATTTTGTGTCATCTTCACAAAAGTGTCCCTAAGGTGCTGGGGTAATCTTAGATTTTTTTTTTTAAATTGGCCACACTGGGGATACATGGCTAAGTGTGTCTGCAAAACTTCCTTGAGAGATCAGAGAATCGTAGAATGGTTTCAGCTGGAAGGGATCTTAAATATCACCCATTTCCTGTTTTTCACCACAGGCAGGGATGCCACACACAAGGTCAGGTTGCCCAGGACCCCATCCAGCCTGGCCTTGAACATTTCCAGGGATGGGTCATCCACAATGTCTCTGGAAAATGTGTTCCCCGGCCTCACTATCTTTTGAGTAAAGAATTTCTTCCCAATATCTAACCCAAATCTCTCCTCTTTGGATTTAAAAACATTTTCCCTTGTTTTATTACTATCTGCCCATGTAAAATGTTCCTCTCTCTTTTTTTCATAAGCCCCCTTTAAGTACTGAAGGATCTCAACAGGGTGCCCCCAGAGCCTTCTCTCCTCCAGGCTGAGCAACCTCAACTCTCTCAGCCTGTCTTCAGAGGAGAAACGTGCCAGCCCTCTGATCATCTTGGTGGCCTTGTCTTGTATTGGCAGCGCCAGAGGTTGGATACAGCACTCTGAGTGGGTCTCACAGGGGCAGAACAGAGGGCAGTATTCCCTCCCTTCACCTGCTGCTCAGGGATGCAGTGCATGGATGCTGGTGCTTTGGAGACAGCCCAGGACACGTGTGGCTCTCTGGGCTGTGAGTGCCCATGGCTGGGTCATGTCCACCCTCTCGCCCACAGCACCCCCAGGTCCTCCTGAGCAGGGCTGGTCCCAGTGACTTCTCCAGTCTGTGCCCGTGTCTGGGATTGCCCCAAACCAGATGCAGCACTTTGCACTGGGCCTGGTAAAACTTCATGAGGTTCTTGTTAGCCCATTTCTTAAGCTTGTCCGGGTCCTTCTGGGTTGTGTCTTGTTTTCTGTTGTCAGATGCTCATGTCAGTTTGGTGTCATCTGCAAACTTGAGGAGGGTTCTCTTGATCCCACTCTCTGTGTCATTGATAAAAATATTAAAAGGCACCAGTCCCAAGAGAGAGCCCTGAGGGACAGCACTCATCACAAACCCCCACTGGGATATACAGGCATTGACTGCAACTCTCTGGCTGTGTCTATCCAGCCAGTTCCTTATCCACCAAACAGTCCATCCTTCAAACTCATGTGTCTCCAATTTAGAGATAAGGATACCCCTTGGACCATATCAAAAGCCTTACAGAAGTCCAGGTAGATGGCATTGGCTGGCCAATGGATGTTTGCTTTTTCTACTCACAAAAAGAGGGTTACTATTTTTCATATGTGTGAGGAATTCCCTTCAAAAACTGCAGTTAATTCTGTATTGCCCAAAATATACACAACACTAGAGAACAAGAGAATCTCTCCTTGTTTCCTTCTACACTTAAAAGGGCTTGTGACACAAGTTGGTGTTATTTAAGTTGGCCCAAAGATTTGTTCACTAACAGGTTGGTTAATTCAATATTTTATATTCACAAGAATGCCAGACTACCAGTCTGTGTGACCAAGGAAGGCAGGACTGCAGCTGTCATGCTCCAAGACCTCTTTCATTCAAGGTTCTGCAAGTTTTTAACTACAACATATCACTCTCCTACGTATTTGGTTCCTGGCAAATGTGTATTTCTGGCTGGAGTATTGAAAGCTGCAGAGTTTTCCTTTTAGAAATGTAACTGTAGCAATTTCCAAGGAAATCATTTGCTCATAAAACTCATCAGGAAATAGACAGTAGTACCTATTGTGTTTACACATCTTTCAGCTGGTGCCTGTATTAGCAATTTGTTTTGAGGAGATTTTGTTTCTCTCTTTACTATTTGCTGTGTTTTTCCTCCAAGTTATTGATGTGTTTATCAGATTTCCTCCAAGGGGAACTAAGTCAGATGCTCCAGTCCCCTGCCTGCTGGCATCATTAGGTTCCATACCCAAACATGAGCCTTTTCCCCAAGAAGGTACACAAAGGAGATACTTCCATGTCAACATCATAAATAATTTAACTTTTTTTTTTTTCCTTGAATTGCATATTTATAATAGTTAAAACACGAGCTCAGGCTTTTCTGTGTTGAAGACCAGGTTTAGCCATGCATTTAAAGACTGGTGCTGGATCTGAAATTGTGTACAGCTCAGAACACTCTTGTGGTTCAGAAATAGCTTCAGATAAAGTCAGTTTTTGGAAGCTCAGCTGCTTTACAATGAAGTAGAATTAGTCCTGCTGTTTCTGGCATATAAGAGCCATGTCCTTTCCTTTCTCATTTTGTTCCTTTCCAAAATTACTGCAATACCTGAGTTTCCCAGAAACCTCATGATGGCTTCCAAGCTCTGGCAGTGTGTGGTAGGGAAGTGTGTAAATTTTTGGTTTGTATGTGGAGGATAAGAAAGGCTCCAAGGCTTCATGAAACAGCTAGCATGATGCACAGAAAGTTTGTTACGGAGTCCTGAAACTAAAACTTTGTCTGCCTGAGTAACTTATGCTGACTTATATATATATATATTTTTTTTTTTTTCATAGAATCACAGAATCATCAGTGCTGGAAAAGACCCTCAAGATCACCTTTCCCACATAGTCACCCTAAACCCTTGTGCCACATCCAGGGGCCTCTTGAAACACTTCTAGAAGTGGTGACTCCTCCACTTCTGCAGCCCAGGACAGATTTGTCATCCTTCAGATGGCTTCCTAACTGGTGTCGAAGGTGCAGACGGGCTGTGGACAGCAGTCCGTGTTTAGTGATTAAGCCATGCCACTTCTTGCCTGCTTCAAATATTGGCCCTGTAGAACAGGTCCTGTAAAAAGCCCAAAACATATGAGCCAAGATGACAAGGAAGAAAAATTGTCTCTAGCTATCAAAATGAAAAAGCAAGGGTTTTAAAAACTTTATCTAGTGCTGAGCAATCTTCAGTATTACAAGAGCATTTCAGCTCACTCTGTGTGCTTCAGATAAATGTGAGAGGCAGAGGGAAAAACAAGTGAAATAGAATTTTTTTAAAGAAGACTCAAGAAAACTTTATACAAGAAATTTTCAATGAATTAAAAAAATGGGTTATTGATGAAACAGACAAAATTTTATTCTTTGATGTTTGAATAATATTAGTCTATAAAGTGTTCCTATTGTAGAAAATTATTTTCAATGACATCCTGAAGAAAACAAAGCTCTAATATAATACTAAAAAAAGTGAAGCTATAGAAAAAGCAGAGTAGGACCTTCTCAGAAGTGCACAGCCTGAGCACAGTGGGCAAAAAACAAATATCCAAATGGCAGTTGGATTTAAAGGAACAAAAAATCCTCATAATGAGAGTGATTGAGCAGTGGGACACATTCCAGAAAACACATGAAATTTCTCTCTTTGGAGATTGTTAAAAGTCAGCTAATAACACCTTATACTTTCAGAGATTTCCTTGCAGGAAAACCTGCAACCTGCATTAGGCTAACTAGCACACTTTTACTTTTTTAGACCTAAATGTGACTTTTTTGTTTACAAAACATAAGCCAACAGATGAAGGTAAGGATCCAGGCAGAGGCTTGGGTATAACCCTGTGTTTACTGGATCTCTGTCTTTGAAGGGTAGGGTTGCACTCTCACTCAAAGCCTCCTCTTCTGTCAGGAGCTTGTGAGTTACAGTAAACAGCAGAGAGACATATTTTTCTGTGTGAATTTATTATTTATCATTTTCTTTAAAATTCTGTAAATATTGTAATTCTCCATGAGAAAATTAATTATATTTTAACAGTATCTTATTCTTTTGAGGAGAAAAAGGAGCTTTGATTTGAAATAGTTTGTTTCCTTTGAGGCACAAAAAAGTAAAAGAAGAAGGTAAACTACATGGCAGAACAGTTTTCATTGGTTTCTGTCAGGTTCAATTCAGAGACTGCTTTGTGTGCTTTTTTTACCTTCAGTAATCAGCAGTTAAGATGTTGCATATTTTAAACACATTTTCTAACAGGAATGGGGAGGAAATTGAACTGGAAAGAGAAAAAAAAGATTAAGAAAAATCCCAAGATATTAGACATTTTTCCAAATCCTTAAGAATTTCTTTTTGCTAGGATACTTACACAATATATCCTTTTGAAGAATTGCATTGTTTGTAAAAATTTTATGAAAGGGGATCTTAGATTAAACCCTGCTGAAATATTAATTGGAAAGATTTCAACCAGCTCTGACAAATAGCCTTTAGCTTCATAATGTTCATTAGAGTCTGTTTTGTTATCTAATCAGCAAAAGCAGTGAAACAGATTCCATTTACATGCCAGGAAGGCAAAGGAGGAATAATTCAGTGCTGGGATGCTAAACACAAGTGCTGACTGGAAACACATCTACAAAAGTAATGGGCTAAATTCATGGTAATGGTCTGTATTTTAAAAGAAGGGGGGGTTATCTCCTGTTGCAAGCAACATTAATTTTCCCCATAGAGGTCACTTATCAAAGTGTTTGGCCGCACTCCCCTGCTGTTCAGCAGCAAATCTCTGGAAGAACGCCTCGGCAGGCCTAGGAATATATGGTGTCTATGTTCCCTGCTTCCTGCTTTTATTAGCTGGATTGCTGCTGGACTCTTTCCAATCACAACATTCTGTAGTGTACTGGCAGCACTCTTAAGAATTTGGTTTAAAAGCCAGAAAAACTGGAAAGGATGACAGGCACCTGTTTAGGGGCAGATCTGACAACCTGAACTCACTGGTACCACAACATTTTCAGAGAAAAAAATTCAGGCCTTAGTCAACCACAGTTAAACACAATTTAACAAAATCTTTTCCCAGCATGCTTACTTGAGTGCCTTGCTGGGTAGCAAACACTTCAATGAGTGCTTGGAATTTGTGATAAAGTACATTTCAGAGAGATTCACATTCAGATAAAGATAGGTATATTCAAATACAATATTCTTCCTTATTATCTGTGTGATTAATGATGCAGCGATAGAATATGCTGTGACTTGAATGATCCCTGAAGGAACTGAGACACTTGCAGGAAACCAGCAAGGGAAATGTGCATCAGCTCTAAGCTATGCATGACGTTTCCCTCTGAATTAAATAGCTGAAAGTGTACTTAAAAGGGTTTTCCTTAGGGAATTTTATGAATAAGAATGAAGATCCTAGGCAGCTTATCTTAGAAGCAAAATACTCTGTTCTGGACAGGAAGAAATAATATTTACCTTTACTTCTTTGGATTTGACACTCTGGTGCTTATTGACTTATTTCACTGGGAATTTTAGTCAGCTTTTAACTGCAGGAAAACAATTTCACAGTTAGCACTAAACATACACAGGATTTTAGAAAGGAAGGGTAACGGTTATTTCCTATCTCTGTACAAAATCCTTTTGAAGTCAGTCCTTCTCTCTGTTATAATCTTAAAGCTTTTCCTCTAAGATCATAAGCACTTTCTTGAAGGGACAGGCCTGAAGTTCTTCAGAGGGAATAAGAATATTAATTCTGTAACTGAAGTGCATCCAAATTTGAAGCCACGTACTTGAATGCCATTAAAAGGAAAGCTAGGATGCAAACATCAGCTATGCATTAAGTTAGTAACCACTATTTCTGCACCATTGATTTCATTCTGATAATAGCTGACACGGTTAAATCAACTCATCACCTCATTCTTATGCTGTCAGTGTGAAAACACAGTCAGCAAAAATAAAAAGTTTCAGCAGAAAAATGGTCAATGTGCCATTATATGAAGTGTGAGGGTAGATCTCTTTTTACTAACAGAAATCTCTTTTTCTACAGGCAAAAGAGATTTACAGCTAAATACAGTAAGTTAAACTATATATCATCATTCCCTCTTTATAATGTACATTTTAGTAATGCTGCAAAATGCAAAGCAACTGTAAAGTTCATTGAAGAGGAAACTAAACACTCACCACATAACTTTACTGTAGCTTGTTACCCAACTCTCCATCCTTGCAGAACGACTTTTGGAAAGCCCAAGACTTTAGAACAGTGTCCTATATTAATTTCTGCAGTGGTGGAAATTAGTTCCCAAAGAAATGTGCTTGAAAACATTCAGTGTTTCTTGCTTCACATAGAAACATCATCAGGAGGAGAAAAATGTGAGCATCTGCTGTTGAACTGCAGAAAGGAACAATGAGTGCACGAACCTTAATGGAAAAGCAAAAGTCATGGCAATGAAGTAGTGTAAGAGAAAATTAAATCAGGCTCAAATATGTTGAATCTGTTGACAAGATGTTGAGGTGGTTTTCTGGAGCTGATGTTCCAAATTGATCCCCAAATCACACTGCTATACTGTGACAAATGTTTCCATTGCCAGTCTAGAAACAGTCTTATAATTTCCCCATGTAACACGTTATAAATACAGTGTTAATGCACTGTATTTATAGAAATTGTAGAAGTTGTGAAAGGGATGGATTCTAAGTTACTGAACTTTTAATGAGAATTCTAAATGGAGGGAAAAGTAACTGGTCTTTACAAATGATGCAGTTCCTGCTGTTAAAATGAGTCAATAAAGGGCTGCAGGCACAGCAATTGTCATATGTAGTCACTGGTGTTTGCTTCTGAACCTGGTCAGAGGCTATGCAGCAAATTGCACAGTGAGATTTCTGGACACCTGTGGGAGAGATGCAGACACTTCTGCTCATGATGAGCATATTGCCTGAAGACAGAACAAAAGGATGTACGAAGGACTCAGTGATTTCCGGGCTAATTGCTAAACAAATGCTGAAATAAGGGTCAGAATTTTTTATGGACTGCGCTGCTGTGGGTGTTTCACACAGTCGGTCTCTCTATAAAACTCAGCCTCTAGAAAACACCACTGTATTTCCTCTTGTTCTTAAGGGGCATAAATTTAATGTCACAATGGATGTTACATGGTATTTTCTGAAGCTGGCTGGTTTGGTGTTCACAAAAATAACTTTGCAATTTAACAGGCAGGATTTTGTATCACACCAAAACAAGCATTATTTGACTACTATTTGCCATCAATTCTCAAATAGATATGTATATCTAGAATTCCAAAACCTCTAGAATCTCCGAAATGTACAGGTACTCAATACTTAAATGGAAAAGTACGTACATTCCTAAGATTTCTATTATTCCTCTTATTATTTCAGACCTCCAGAAGTTTCCTGCTGACAATGGCAGAAATTCCCTTCCCCCAGAATCGAGCCAGGCTGCAGTTTTCCATAGTACTTAACATGCTGCTACATATTCTCATTTTCCTACAAGTACATGCTCTGGGTTTCAAGTGCTTGTTAAACACAGCCGCAGTAACTTTGTGGGGAATCATCCCAGGAGAACCTCTGGAAGCTTGAAACAAAGAATTCAGTGTACAATAGGCATCTCAGAGTTTCCCAGAATAATGAGCAGTACACATGACACAAAGGATTTCTCTGGTTTGAATGCTGCCTTTTTACGAGGAAGTGAATTGGAAAAGGCTTGGCTTATTTATAAATAAAACATAAATGTTTGGATCCTTATGTGATCAACAGCATGACTTGCTCAAAGTACAAGTGTGTAAATGTCAGTTCTAATTCTCTGTTCCCTCACATCATAGAACAACACTGATAATATCAGCATTTATAACATTTTTAAAGTTTTGAAAGAAAGCCAGGATCAATATCATGACTGCCTTCTTATGCAGTGTCTTTCAAGATAGGATATTGCTTAATGATGATCTCCTGTCCTGGCTTCTGCTATCACTAAAATAATGTTGACAATAGTGGCTTTGTTTTTTTGAAGTACCCCAAATTTTGCTGGCATTAACAGATTCAGCCAAAAGGAAAAGATTCATAAAAAGTGTGGGCCTGATTCTTCTCTTGCTTCTCACTTTTTTACTGACCCTGGAAGAACTGATCTCACTGACTTACTTTGGAGCTAGCCCTGACTCAGCCAAGCCCTACAACACTTAACTTCCATTACACAGGAGATCCTTTTCCTGTTCACAAATCAAACTATAAGCACTTAATCCAGTCCCACTAGAGGCCCAGGCAGGTAGAAGCAAGAAGTTACTAGAGTGCCAGAAATTAAGACCAGTCCAGGGAAGGCTGAGCAGAGCACCTACACACTAACACATCATTGGGAGTCATAAACCCTCTTGCTTGATCTGCAAACAATCACAGGGGTGCTTTTTGCCATGAAACAGATGGTACAGGGGAAAAAATGTGTTCCCTTCTCCTCCTATTAGCATCCTTGATTTTCAGGAAAACTGAGGAGTCCAAAGCCCTGATGTCTGCTCCTGAAGGCTTAAAGGACCATGCTTGAGGCAGTGAGGTAGTTCACTGAGAGGGGAGCTTGTCCAGTCCTCACATGCTTGGCCACAGGACAGCAATGCAGGGAGGCAGATGTTTCAGCTCACCAAACCCACAGCACTGTGTGCTTGCTGTGCTCTGTAATCCTGACAGAACTCCAGGCACTGTTTCCTCTCTCCACCTCGAGCCTCTGCCCAGGTTTTAGCCAGTTACCAGCCACTGTCTGCCTCCAGTGGAGAGAAGCTACCTATGGATTAACATCTCTTGCTTCTCCAAAGCCCTTCACCTTGCTGTAGCCCTGCCCTTCACTGAAAGCTAACCTCTATGCCATGGTTTACAGTGCAATTGCCTAAAAACCTTTCTGGGTTTCAGCCAAGTACATTGCAGACTGAACTGGTTTTACCCCAGCCAGCATGGGAAACACTCATCCCGATTGTGAGACAGATTGAACGCTTTGTAGTTAGATCAGTGTGAAACACCAGGTAAAGTAAAGTTGGGAGAGGCCTTTGGCAGAATTTTAGCTGTGGTGTGTCAGGTACTTTAATTGTACGTGGGCAAGCACTGATGCAATCCAGAACAAGAAGATTATGTACAGACCAAACAGTTATTATTTTACCAGGGTATGCTTGACTGACCTCTATAGATACAGTAACAAACTGTAAGGCACTGTTTCTCAACCTTGTTTACAGCGGATTCTTTTTTTAGTTATATCCAATTCATTAAACAAAAAATCTAACACTTAACCCCAGCTGAACTACCAACCACTGCCTCTATGGGAAAATATTTCAGAACAGACACAGTGACACATACAGAAGCCACTTCCTTCTATAATCAGAAAACATTTTGGCCAGCGAGGTTTTAGGTCCACACAGCAGTCCTTGTCCTTGCTGGAGTCCCCATGGGTTCACCTGAGAGACCACAGCACAATTCCTTTCCGGGATAAGAGGGAGGACACACCTTCATCTTGCCCAGATGCAGGCTTGGGATGCAGCTGGGTCACATCTCCAGGAACACAGGCACTGTCCTTGCCCTAGCATAGGCCTAAAAGGAAACAGGGGATGGAGGAAAAGGAAAGATCCAGAAAAAGGATAGAAAAACATATAGCCTGGGAGAGAGAGAAGCAGCAAATAAACATGCAGCATGCAGACACAGACTCCAAACTGAACCAGATCTGTTCACATGTCTTTTTCAGGTTGAAACCACAGCTGGCCTCAGGGAAGGGCCAGTCTTGAGAGAAACAAACTATTTTAAACTGGCCTCGTGCTCCTGCCTTTCACAGTGAGTCACACTGTTCTGCCTGCTGCCAGCTTCAAAGCTCAATTCCCTGCTAGGACTTCGGTTGAAAATGTCCGGAGGCCCATATGTACCTACTGACAGTGTACTCACCTTGGCTCCTAGAGAAATTGGGAGCTGGGAGGGATTGGAGTATCCCAAACTATTGAAAAAAAAATTCCTGAAAAAGGAAAAAATAAAACTGAAATCACAAGGCTGCTAGGAAGTGCAAAGTGCAATGTCAGCACTGTGCTTGCCTGTTGGGCCAGCAGAGGTAGGGGATGCAAATGACTCTGAGCCACAGTGAGAGTTTTTACTGAAACTGTGAATGGTATAGCTTGAGATGGATGCTAAAAAGTAGCCAAAGCAGTACCACCCAGAGAAAAATAAAGACAAGACTTAAACTGTAGAATTCTTTTAATGGTGTGTATCTGGGTAGAGGACAATTTGAAGTCAGATTTCGCATCACCCCTTACAGTAGAAAGTATTTTTCAGTTAAGTCCTGAATGGGGCAGCATCACTCACGTGGTTAGTTCCAGTCAGAGCATTTGCTCTGAAATAATCTCCTGTAGAAATGGTGGTACATAAAGAGCTGAAGTATGGGTATGCCAAAAAGCAAGAAAATGAATGTCCTGACTCCTATGGTACAGCTGCCTTTGCATGCAGTCAGTCTCCATCAGTGGTTATACAGTTGCCACTGTTAAATCATCTCCTAAATTCTGTCAGTTTTTGTTACTGTACAAATCTGACCTCATCCTGGTCCCCTGCCACTGCCAAAGAGCTGCTCTATTTACCCACTGCTGATGCAATATCTAAACTCAAAAGGTTTACAGTAAGATATTTAAGATGAAGGGAGAATAAAAACCAGTGCTAGTAAAGCAACTTATGCCTGAAACATAGTTTAAGGCCGTTTGCCAGTTTAAGAAAAAAAAAAACAACTCTTTGGAAGGGTTAATCAGCTTATGGAAAGTTTCAAGGAGTGCCAGAGCCCTGGGTTAGGATCAGGGAGGTTGCAACAAGCCCTTCCCTAACCCTCAACCTGCAACATCAGTCCTGCTGCCCATAGCCTCAAACAGCCAGGAAGAACAAGGGAAGGTTTATGAGCTGTGTGTAAATACAGACTAAATGCAGGCTCTGCAACACTGTTTTTACATGTGTTTAATTAGATTGAGTAGACAAATGTGCAGGGGAATACAGGGAGGGACCCTGTACACCAGGGACCGACATCAGAGAGGTCACAATGGGTCTAGTGTCTTTACAATAAATTTAAGGACTCTATTAAGTCCTTAATTTTTCTATAATGATTTAGTTCTCAGGATGGCTGTGTAAGTATCCTTCTTCGAATATTATGACCAAGAACTCAGTATGATGTGACCATTACTTTCAAAAATATTCTCAGAGTAGTAAGTGCATGGCTTTTTTTGTTTTGTTTGTTTTGGTTTTGCTGTTGTTGTTACTTTTATTTTTTCTTGGTTTGAGTTTGCTGTCAGGGTTGCTTGGTTCCATCCATGTAATATTTTTTGGGACTTGGCATACTGGAAATACACCACACTTCAGGATAAACAGAATAAACAAAATATCATAACTGGTTTTATGTGTGTGCAATATGTGGTAGCTTTCATTAAGAGGGTGTGGCTGAGCAGCAGGGCATCTGGCTGCTCTGTTTGCCCAGTTTCAGCTCTACTTCATAGGTTCAGATAAAACCATGAAGAGGAAGCAAAGCGTGCTTTGAGACCTGGGCATGCTCAGCTGGGGTAGCCCAGGATCCACTGCAGCCGTGGTAAAGGCCTTTTTGGGTCACAGCAAGGCAGTGCCAAGCCTGAGGGATATCCACGGAACAAGCAGGCCTCCTCAAGACCCAGGATTGGCTCCGTGCAGTTTATTAGAAAGCCAGCAAACTGCTGGAGGTCATTAGAGCAAGAGCAGGAAGAAAAAAGGATGGGCATTGCACTGTGACCGTGCGTGGGAAGAGGGGGAGTAGCGGTGGGGATACTTGTTTTCAACTCTCATGCTGGATTTGAAAGCCTCTTGTTTTAATATACAATTGTTAGTGCTTTTGGAGACAAGATGTCTCTATATCGGTGGTGTTACTGTGATTATATTTGCACATTGGGATTGCAATAACAATGTAACATTCTGAATATTCTAATGCTTTTAAATTAACTTTTAATAATTGGAGCCTCTTTTTGAGGTTGCTGTGCTTCCAAGAGCTAGAAAGAAGATTGTGATAAGAGACGAACAATGCTCCAATGTGCCTATCCCTGCCCCAATCTTGGTCCAGTGTGCATTTTTCACACAATTGTGTAACTCTCACTTAACCCAAACCCGTAGTTCCTGGATCACACAGACTGTCATTCTGCAGCCCCTCCCAAGTAAGGCTGCGCCACTCAGCTCTCTTTCCCTCCAAGCCTTCTTTCAAACTCAGTTCCAGTTTAGTCTCTCCCAAGTCCTAGCCTGGCTGCAGGTTTTGGGTTCCCCCAGTGCTGCCTACCAAAACACCTCTGGGTGGGCTGCTCTGACAAAGTCTGCACAGAGGAGGCTCCAAGAACAAAAGTTAGAGTGCAGGCAGAAAAGAGAAAATGCTATTTTTAGTCCTGTCAGGTGTCAAAAGGTTTATAGTAGGTTATTTATAAAGTTCTGAGATTTCCTGAAACTCTTAAAATTCTTTAAGCTACGCCTTTCACAGAAGGAACAATTTTTCTACATCAATTTAGGTATAGATCATATGCCAGCCACCTATCTTAGCTTGGAAAACTTTTCCTTCAGTGCAACTTCCAGTAAAACTTTATGTTAAACAGAAAGGAAAATGTTTTATAGATGTCATAAACCCCCCACTTTTTTACTTAAAGCCAAACCACAGTAACTTCATAAAATGAAAAAAATTTCCATAATGCATCAGAGATACTGTGATCAATAGAGTAGAAAAGAATCTGTTGTAAAATTGTGACATGAGAATTACAAAAAGAATTAGAGTACATGTAATCTGTCTGATAAGTAGCACAAGATTTGTTTTGTGTCACAAAATGTTTGAAGTGAAAAATTATATCACAAATAGTATGTGAATCTAACAAAACCATAATGTGTGTGGCTGGTAAATAATTTGTTTTATTATAGAGAAGTTTTTCTGTTGTTGCTGTAATTTTAATTATTATCTCATTATATCAATGTAATAATTCAAACTATTTTTTTTTCTGGTCAAATCTTCCTATTGCTCAAACATGTTTCTCACTGGCATCTTCTTGTAAGTCACTGACCTTTTTACTTGTTTTGTCTCTTTTTCGGAGTGTAGGAATATGATGAATGATTAACTTCCTTCTGATGTTATCTTACTCCACACAATTCAGGTAGATTATTAGATTTTTCTTTTCTCCTTGCTAACAAGGAAGGAAAGGAAAGGAAAGGAAAGGAAAGGAAAGGAAAGGAAAGGAAAGGAAAGGAAAGGAAAGGAAAGGAGAGGGAAAATACTTTCAAAATGTTTTAAAAATCCTTGGTGGCTGATTTGCAAAATAGTGAAAAAACCTCATCTTTTTCTGAGAAATAGCAAAATAGAGGTCAAAGATTCAGCAGAAATCGTTACACTGAAAGAAATACATAAAATGCTCACATGAGAAACTTTTAAAGTTTGCTATGTTACCCAGGCTTTCCAGTGATTTTGTTTGGTTTTTGTTGTTGTTCATAAATCTGTGAAAGACATTTATTACTCGGCATAAAGTCCTTCTGAAATTTCTCTCCTTCCTCTGCAGATTGGTGGCTGCACAAAAATGTGCCAGTTCTCTCCATCATCCATAAATCAGGAGCATTGGCCACAGCTGTTGACGACACTCCAGCCCTTCCCCAGGGCCAGTGGTGTTACTCACAGTGACACACTTCAGTTTTACCCTTGGTCTAATCCCCCAGTGCACCCCTTTGTAACCACCAGCCTGCTCTTCAGAAATTCACAAGTCACAGCCTTTCCCAACTCTTCATTCTGGGTTAGCACACAATGGTGGGGTGTTGTTCCCAGGAAAACAAAAGGCTCCAGGGATCTTCTTTCTCAGCTCCCTCTGGTGTGTCTGCAGATTATAGAGATGAAGTCAGTATTAGTTTTTTATATTCTTAGTCCTAAAAACCTCAGCACAGCTGAACTTTGCTCTGTCCTAAAATACTTTTTTTCTCCTTGGGGCTTTTAACACACTAAGTCTTTCAGTTTTACATCAAACCTTTCCTGGACTCCTAACAGTGCTCCTTCAATAAACTCCTTGGCTCAGCTGGAGTCAATGACCTAAGTCCTCTGGCCTGCAGGAAAGGCAGGATTTCAGCTCTCATTCTTGCAAACTCTCTTCATTTTCACTGTACCCCTTCATCTTTATTTTTCATTTCCTATTGCTATTTCCTAAACCTCCTTCATTACTGGTTCATAGAAATTTATCTCAAATTCTCTATTTCCTTGGCATTTGTTGCTCTTCAGATTTTCTGGTTATAAAATTTGTGTATGTGCTTGTTGTGGGTGTCTGTGTCCTGTTGCAAATGAAATCATCAGAGCCTTTGTGCTGGCTGGGTACATCTAATGCAAAGTTTCACTGCAAATGTATGTGTTTGCTCAGCTCCCTGAGCCAGCTGACTGTTCTTATTTAACACCACGTGGTGATTATTGCCTTGGGATTTAGGTCATTTGAGGATAGAACATGGAGAAATGGACACAAATTGAAAGTGGGGAAATTTAGGCTAAATATAGGAATAAATTCTTTACTGTGAGGGTAGTGAGTCACTCGAATGGGTTACCCAGAGAAGTTGTGGATGCCTCATCCCTTGCAGTGACAAGGCCAGCCTGGAGGAGGAGTTGAGCAATGTGGTCTGATGGGAAGGGTCCCCTATGACAGGGGAAGTTGGAGCTAGATGATAATTTAAGGTCCCTTCCAACTCCTAATATCCCATGATTCTATGTTTTCTAAAATAATGTTGCTTGTGAATGCAAACAATTCAGGGAACTTTCCTTCTGAATGAAAACTGAACCTCTGATAGCTGGACCCACTCACATTTCTGGTCCTTGCTGGCCAAGTGATGCTACAGGCACGGACTCACAGAGTGCCCTTTCTCTTTGTTGGAAGATGCCCATGCCTCCTCCTCTTCATGGCCCTTTGATTGGAGATGATGAAGATGCCATGATTTTGAGAGGACTGTTTGATGTGTGAATTGTTT